CTCTTTGAGTTATTATAATTGGGTTTGTAGTGGTGGGATTTATATGATGGTTCCCCCCTGCATTGATAAGCCTCGAAGGTCTTTATAGCCTCCAAGAATTCTTCCTCTGTACATGAGGCAGGGCATAGTGGACAAGCATACAGATGCAGAGTTGTCTGTTCTGCTTCACAGTCACGCAAGGTGTGGGGTTCTTTTAGGTAGTGTATTTTGCCAGGTTGTCTTTTGATTTGCCCACTTCACTCCTGAGTCTGTTCAGGGACTCAAAAGCATTGCTTTTAAACATTTCTTCAAGCGAACCCTACCCAATTCCCTCAGAGGGATTTCTTGGCTTCCAGACATTTGTCTATCGTGGTGGCCCTTCTCCCCACCCTTTCCAAGTCGCCCCTATCCTTCTTCAATCGTGGGGCCCAGAACTGATACATTATTATGAGTTCTCCCCTACAAACAGTTCTGACCCTTTATCTCACCCTGAGTTTTTATATCAGTTTTTAAAATCATTTTATGTACATGCGGCCCGCTCTCTGGTTTCTATGTTTTGTGTATATTGTTCATATGCTTTGATGCTGGTCGCTTCTGTATCAGCATCAAAGCATATGAACAATATACACAAAACATAGAAACCAGAGAGCGGGCCGCATAAGCTCTAGTTGCTCTCACTGCCTATTACAGGGAAAACCAGCTGATCCCTGACCCATCTAAAACACAGACATGTGCCTTTCATCTCAAGAACAGACAAGCATCCTGAGCTCTGAAGATCACCTGGGAAGGAACCCCACGGGAGCATTGCAGCGCACCCAAATACCTGGGAGTCACTCTGGTCCGTGCTCTGACCTACAAGAAGCACTGCCTGAACATCAAGCAAAAAGTGGGTGCTAGAAACAATATCATATGAAAGATGGCTGGCACAACCTGGGGATCACAACCAGATACAGTGAAGACATCTGCCCTTGCGCTGTGCTACTCTGCTGCTGAGTACGCATGCCCAGTGTGGAACACATCTCACCACACTAAAACAGTGGATGTGGCTCTTAATGAGACATGCCGCATTATCATGGGGTGTCTGCGCCCTACACCACTGGAGAAATTACACTGTTTGGCTGGTATTGCACCACCTGACATCCGCCGGGAAGTAGCAGCCAATAGTGAAAGGACCAAGGCAGAGACATCTCCAGCTCATCCCCTGTTTGGGTATCAGCCAGCACGTCAACGACTTAAATCTAGAAATAGTTTCCTAAGATCTACTCGCTGGAACACCTCAGCAAGCAAGAGTCCAAAAGTGGCAGGCTCAAACCCAGAACCTCAACCAATGGCTGATACCCAATGAGAGACTCCCCCCTGGGCACATAGAGGACTGGGTGACTTGGAAGGCGCTGAACAGACTGTGCTCTGGCACCATGAGATGCAGAGCCAGAAATGGGGCCACAAAGTGGAATCCACGGCATGTGAGTGTGGAGAAGAGCCAACCACTGACCACCTGCTGCGATGCAACCTGAGCCCTGCCACATGCACAATGGAAGACCTTCTTGCGGCAACACCAGAAGCACCCCAAGGGGCCAGAGACTGGTGAAAGGACATTTAATCAACTACCAAACTCACAATTCTGTATTTTGTCTGCTTTTTTTTTTTTTTGCTTTGTTCTGTTAGAAATGTAATATAATCGACTGGTTGCACTGTCACGATAAATATGCTTTGATGTTTTATACTTTACTGTTATGTTGTTTATTTTACTGCAATTTGTATTTTTGTTTTGTAATTTGTTGTTCAGGCTTGGCCCCACATAAGCCGCTCCGAGTATAAATAAAGATTACTATTATTATTATTATTATTATTATTATTATTATTACTACTACTACTACTACTACTGGCACTTATACCCTCTGCCTCTCGCTCAGTATGAATCTGAGAGGAAATAAACAGGGCCCAAACAACACAGTTCAAGAGTATTGCAAAGATTCCATTCCCAAGGAAAGCATTGTTTCTTGATCAAACGAAGCCCTCTTTTTGCCTTTCCCTTCAGATCCTCTGCTTCTCTGCTCCTGATAAAAGGTGCTTCCTGTCCAAGTTCCTCTCAACCCCACAAAGCCCCTGCCTTGTCTCTCCTGCACCTAGGACTGAATTTTGGGAGGAGAGGGGCGGAGAGGGGCAGGTAAACACACCTTCTGCTTCGGCGTGTTCTCCTCGGAGGGCTGCTTCTCCTGGCTCTCTCTGCGCTGAGGCGCCTGCCGGCTCTGGGACTCGGCCCGGGAGATGAAGTCTGCGACTGTGACTGTGGAGACAAAGCAGGGACAAACCGTGTGAAGGAGTCAAAAGGGACAGGTCAGTGCAAGGCAAGGAAGCTTGGGAGGCTGCCTTAGCGCTCCCAGCAACACTTTAGAGCAGGCACGAGCAAACTTGGGCCCTCCGGGTGTTTTGGACTTCAACTCCCACCATTCCTAACAGCCTCAGGCCCCTTCCTTTTCCTCCTCAGCCTTCTGCCTGTTTTGGGGCCCGAAGGAAGGAAAGACCGAAGGACGGACTGGCGAAGGTGGGAGGGAGTACCTGGCTGCCGGTCCCGACTGATGGAGCCGTCCACGCGGTTGCCACGGTTACGCCGGCGCCTGCTCCGGTTGCGTCTCTGGGGCTTGGACTCCTCCTCTGGGAAAAAGAGAGAGGCCAGCTGGGCTCAGGACAGGAGCAAGGATGGGCCAACTTCAGCCCTCCCTCCCTCCAGGGGTTTTGGACTTCAACTCCCACAATTCCTGGCCTCAGACCCTTTCCTTTTCCTTTTCCCCCCTCAGCTGCTTAAGTGGGCTGTATGGCCATATTTCCAGGCTGTATGGCTGTCTTTGTTTATTTATTTATTTATTTTATTTAAAACATTATGGTGGCGCAGTGGGTTAAACCTCTGTGCCGGCAGGACTGAAGACCGACAGGTTGCAGGTTCGAATCCGGGGAGAGGCGGATGAGCTCCCTCTATCAGCTCCAGCTCCTCTTGTGGGGACATGAGAAAAGCCTCCCACAAGGATGATAAAAACATCAAATCATCCGGGCGTCCCCTGGGCTACGTTCTTGCAGACGGCCAATTCTCTCACACCAGAAGTGACTTGCAATTTATTGTCGAAGGCTTTCATGGCTGGAATCACTCAGTTCTTGTGGGTTTTTTCGGGCTATATGGCCATGTTCTAGAAGCATTTCTCCTGACGTTTCGCCTGCATCTATGGCAAGCTTCCTCAGAGGTGAGGTCTGCTGGAGCTGGGAAAAAAGGGGGTTTATATATCTGTGGAATGACCAGGGTGAGACAAAAGGCTTTTGTAAGTTGGGCTGGGTGTAGACACATGAAAATTGGAAAAACTAAGGACCAGGAAAGCACATCTACTGTGCTCCCTTACTTTCCTTCTACGCTGCAGAGACACAGATACCATCCCACAATTTCTTGCAGCCAAAAGGACTTTCAAACAGGCACAGTCAGCCCATTGTATGCTAATCAAGGTGGTCAGTTGAAAGATCCACACCCAGCCCAACTTACAAAAGCCTTTTGTCTCACCCTGGTCATTCCACAGATATATAAACCCCCTTTTTTCCCAGCTCCAGCAGACCTCACCTCTGAGGAAGCTTGCCATAGATGCAGGCGAAACGTCAGGAGAAATGCCTCTAGAACATGGCCATATAGCCCGAAAAAACCCACAAGAACTGACTTGCAATTTCTCAAGTTGCTCCTGACACGACCAAAAAATTTAAGGCATTGATATTCCGCCCTTCTCACCCCAAAGGGGACCCAGGAGATAGATAGATAGATAGATAGATAGATAGATAGATAGATAGATTAGATAGATTAGATAGATTAGATAGATTAGATAGATTAGATAGATTAGATAGATTAGATAGATTAGATAGATTAGATAGATTAGATAGATTAGATAGATAGATAGATAGATAGAATAGATAGATAGATAGATATGGCAAACATTCAATGCCGGGACACAAATTCTTATATACATACATAAACATTAAAAACATTTATCAAAATATTAAAATACCCCATACCATCCTTCTAAAGGACTGGAGGGAGGGGGCTGACCTGATCTCACCAGGGGAGCAATCACCGAGAAGGCCCTGTCTCTTGTCCCCACCATTTTCTCCTGACATTTCGCCTGCATATGTGGCAGACATCTGAAGATCCTCTGAAGGTGCCAGTCACAGATGCAGGCAAAATGACAGGAAAAAAAATGATGCTAAACACAGCCATACAGCTTGGAAACCACAGAACAACCAGGATAGACTCTTTTATTTCAAGCATCAGTATTGAACAGAACCCCAGAGTTATGCAGACAAAGTGTGCACAATCAATATCTCCTTTATTAGTAATCTTGATCTGAGGTCTATGTGACCGGCATGGAATGGAGTTAGAGACAGGTTGTTGTTTACAAGGAAGATCTCAGGGTCTAGTCCTGCAGACATAACATCAGGTGGGGTGGCCCTGGGCATCTGATAATAAATTTGCAGCATTTCTAGCATCATACAAACAGCAGAGCATAGCAAAACAACACAAGCATGGGCGCGATTGTGAGAATTATTAAAAATTAACTAGATATTTTAATTACAAAAATGTGAGTCAAGCACTGAAAGGGATAAATGGGTGGAATGACTCAGCAAAAAAGCTGCAGTTCTATATAAGTAGGTGTGCCTGTAGCTTAGAACGCCTCAGCGTTAGTTGCCCTCAATATGAAAAGGCTTCACTCTGAGAGAGGCCTCAGTGTGAGGTAAACTTCAGTGTTAGTAGGCCTCAGTGTGAGAAGGCTTTGGTGAGAGAAGTCCCAGGTTGAAGGCCCTGTGTGTAAAGCTCCAGTGTGAAGTCTGCTGTGTGTAAAAGGCTACTGTGTGAAGCTTCTGTGTAAGTTTAGTGTGAGTAGGCCTCAGTGTGTGAGAAGGCCTGGTGTGAGAAGCCCCAGATTGAAGGCCCTGTGTGTAAAGCTCCAGTGTGAAGGCTGCTGTATGTAAATAGCTACTGTGTGAAGCTAGTTAGTGTGAGATGAGGCTCTGTGAGAGCGAAGCTTTTTATGTGCATGAGAAAGAAGCCCAGCGTGGAAGCAAAGAAGGAGGTATAAAGAACTTTATTTTGTGTTATGGAAACCTTGATCTTGTAAATAGTGCAACAATATTATTTGGATACTAGTCGTCCCCTGTCACGTGTTGCTGTTTTGTGTGTGTGCATATGTGTGTATATATTTATGTATCTGTGCATACATGTGTGTTTGTGTGTGTGTGTATATTTATTGCTGTTTTTAAATTGTTTTAAATTGTTTTTAAATTGTGTTAGATTTTAGCCTGTTCTTGTAAGCCGC